CTGGATCTGATTTTGTCGAAAAACAAAAAAAAAACTGTCCACACGAATCGCAACAAATATTAAAAAATCGCGTTCTTCCGTAGATAGGACAGACATAATTCAGTTTTTTGACAACATAATAAAAGCTCTAGGTGACATCGACCACAAAAACTTATACAATTATGATGAAACTAATATCGCCGATGATCCTGGTGCAAAAAAGGTTATTATTCCCAGAAACTTTCGTAGGGTAGAACGGGTAGAAAACTATTTTCGGTCTTGTGTCAGCATAATGGTCTGTGGTAATGCAGATGGAGACCTCCTTCCGCCTAATGTTGTGTACAAAAGCACCAATTTATATGAAAACTGGTATACTGGAGGACCCACTGGCATTGTTTATGAGAACAGCCCTTCCGGATGGCTCGACATGAACCTTTTCAAGCAACGGTTCTTTAAATGCCTCTTACCCTACATAAAAGCAACCAAGGAACCGGAAACACGAGCAGTTGTAATTGACGATAACCTGGCTAGCCATTTTTCATAACAGGTTATTAAAGCAGCCCTAGAAAATAATATACATGTGCCTCTTTCCAGCCAACGCCAGTCATTTTATGCAGCCACTGGGTGTGGCTGTATTTGCACCTCTTAAGAGGAAGTGGCGCGAAATATTACAAAAATGGCGAAGGGAGAGCAGATATTCTGGGACTTTACCCAAAGAACACTTCCCCTTGTTACTTTTAACTCTGTGGAACAAAATTTCAGACACTGTAAAAGCAAATTTAATATCTAGATTCAGAACGACAGGATTGTACCCAATGATTGTTAATGAAGTGTTAGAAAAAAAATTCCTGGAGGATTGCCTGAAAATGTGAAGGAAACTGCCCGAGTGCTCGATTAAACATTGGTAGAGTTTTTCAAAGAAATGAGGGGAACAAGCGAAAACCGAAAATAAAAAGGGGAAAGAAGTTCGTAGCTGGAAAGCAGATGACTGTTGAAGACAAGTCAATTCCTAGTGATGAAATCCAAAATGGAGCAGAATCTCAATCCGCCGCAACAAACAGCGACGAGGAATTGCCTTGTTTCTCTGAAAGCACTCCAGCGCCATCGGGAATACCATCAAAAGAGGTTACAAATAAAGCCAAGAAACCTAAATGTCGTCCCATTAACATAGCAAGAGCAAGTTTGCGAGGTAAAATGATAATGGGGCAATTTGACTTACGCTTTTTAAAAACTACAGAGCAAGGGGTGACTGGATTGAATGTGTGCAGTGCAAAAAGTGGATTTGTAGTATTTGCAATTCAGAAAGCACCGATCTATTTTATGTGTGTCCTGCTTGCGAAGACGACGATCAGGATTAACCATTTTCCGATAACAGCGAGGATGATAAAACATTTAATCCTTAAATTGTGATTTATCCTTAGATTCCAAAGGATTTTTTTTACTATTTTTAAACGTTTTTTACATATTTAAATGTTAGGTTAGGAAAGAAATGTTTTCTTAGTTTTTTTGTCCTTAGTTTCTACATGCCAAAGGATTTTTTATTGCCGTTTTTGACGTACAAACTTTTTTTATTTTATTTGTATATGTTAAACGTAGACTAAGACATGTTTTCTTGAGTCCCTTGTTTTATTTAAAGATTAAGAAAATATAGAAAACGTTTTATTTTTGTAATAACCTGTTTAAAGTGACTTGAATAAACATATTTGGCGAATAAACTTGTTTTTCTTTGTAAAAAAGTTTTTATGCCATATTTTTTAATTTCGCGTATATCAACGGGGCTTCTTTGACACTGGGACGCTTTAAAATGCAGTTGTAGTTAAATTTAACAGGTATATAATAAAGTGGCCCCAAACACCGGGTAATTTTGACATACCCATTTTTATTTTATTTCTTTAAAGTTATTATTTTAAGAGCAATTTGGAAAGCAGCAATGGATTCAGTAGGCCAGATTTGTTATAATTCCGTTTATTTAACAACATTTGGTTAATAAATAACGGAGTAATATTGACAAATGTCTTAAAAGGGTGTCAAAGTAGCCCCTTTGAGGTATTTCTGTGAGAAAAAGATGATTTTTCAATGCAAATCCTCGTTTTCCACATATCAGAAAGACAAATAATTTAAACAGTATTGAGACCAATTAAAAAAGAAAAAATAATCAGGAGCCGAATGATTTAAAATACAAGAGAAGAAAACAACCACATATATTATTAGATCACCTAAAAAATTCAAAACAAAATTTCTGTAGCTAAATTTTTGCAGGTGAATCTACTTTTTTTATTAATGTGTAAGCATGTTTTTTATCTTAAATTTAATATCACAGTTTGTTTATGTGTAATAAAAAATTTTCCTTCGAACTTGAAAATGAATGTGCATGCTTGGATTAGACACTCATTATCGCTAGAAAATTATGTTAGGGTGGTAACATTAATGGAGAAAGGTCGTAGTCAGCGATATATCGCAGAACGGCTTGGTGTGACCCAATCTGCAGTTTCGTATGTTTTAAGAAGATATAGAGAAAATGGGGATCATCAAAGAAGACCAGGTCAGGGTCGTAGACGCTATATGGTCCAACAAATCCTTCGAAACCGTATATTAACAGCTCCTGAGCTGCAAAATGTGGTTAGAGGGACCTAAGAAATACAAGTAAGCTCAAATACCATAAGAAGACGCTTAAGGGAACGGAATCTAACCACACGGATCCCAGCTAGAGGACCGCGCTTGACCGCAGAGCATCGGAGGAACCGACTTCAATTTGCGAGAATGCACGTTAATTGGGAACCGGCTGACTGGAGTCGAGTTTTTTTTCTGACGAGACAAGATTTTCTCTGTACCATTCAGATAGACGAGTACGAGTTTACTGACGACCTGGAGAACGGTACGCACAGTGCAACTTCGTTGAAAACATTCGTCATGGTGGTGGCAGTGTTATGTTTTGGCAAAGCATATCCTGGAGCTCTAGTGACGCTTCAGAAGGGCAATGTTAATGCTGCTCGGTACATCGCTGACATTCTTGAACCTCACGTGGTGCCATATGCTGAAAACTTTGGTGCCGATTTCATTTTCATGTAAGACAATGCACGGCCGCATACAGCTCGGGTGACACAAAATTTTCCTCGTGGTGAAAATATTGAGGCTATGAATTTGCTAGCTAATAGTCCTGACTTAAACATCATCAAGCATCTAGGGACATTTCTGAGATTTGGAACATCGATCAAGCTGACATAATAATGCTTATTTTAAGTATGAGGGAACGCTGTAATACAAGCGAGGGGTGGAAACACCCGATATTGACTTTTTTTCATAGGTGTACTAAAATTAATTTTTTTGGATATTCGCTAATTTTTAAAAGGAGGTTTATTATAATATATTATTTAATATGATAATTGGAGTTTTGTTATGTTTCTTACTCAACCAACCATATAATAAATCTTATTTCAAATTTTACTCGAAATTATTGGGTGATCTAATGATTTTGGCAGGAAGTGTATTCAAATAACTTCAATATGTTTGAAAAATTGATGAGAAAGCGAGGATACACAATAATAAAATGGGAACGATGTAGTGAAATTAATTCGAAATACAGAAGTTGGAATTTTCAAGTTAGAATGGAAATTTTACGAAATTACAAAAGTTTGATTGACCAAAAGTATGAATGACAAGATGTTCGAAAGTAAGGGAAGATCAAAACCAACAACAAAAAAATTGAAATTAGAACAAAGGATTGAAATCGCTATTACAAATAATCGAAATTTCGTGTGATCGATATTACAAATAATCGAAATTGCGTATGATCGATATTACAAATAATCGCAATCACGTATATTCGAAACTACTAATAATCGAAGTGATGTAAGATCGAAAGCATTATATTACGAAATAAGTAAACTAGTTGTTTATTTTTAATTTTTCTTCGTTTATGTATATTTTTTTGAGAATCAACACGCGATGGTGCAAGTGTATGTTGTTGGTATGTATTTTCAAACTTGATAGCTTAAAAATAACAATCTTAACACTAAAAAAATAGAACAGGCATAAACTGAGTTGGTAAGTTACCTGATAGTATTAATACAGTGGGGGTGTTTTAATTCTACACCTGAACTCAGATGGTTGAATCTTAATATAAAATATATTAAAGAAAATACAAATATTTTCCTAGTATTCTAATAAATAAACTAATTTACCTAACCTGTGCAGCTTGAAGCCATTGGGGGTTCCTTTGCAGAAAAATTATACAGAAAATAAGAGAAATAAAAATAAAACTTAACAAATTTACCTAGCCTATGTGGCCGGCAGCCAATGCGGGTTGCTTCACAAAATACTTTCAATGAAAAAATAAAACAAAAAAAACTAATTTACTAATATCATAATATAATAAATTATTATGATCATTATTAGTTTCAAACATATGTAAATTCGATCATTTGTATCTTGGATCATATCGGATTTCGATCATATGCGATTTTAATAATTTGTTTTTATTTCGAATATTTTTGGTTTCGATATTTTTTTACTTTAGATCTTTTAATTTTCATACTATTTTTTTATTTTAAAGTTTTGTTATCGAACTTTTGTCTCTAAATTTTAGTATTTAAAATAATGTTTTAAAAATTTACTAATTTAAACTTATTTCAATCATTTTGAAAAAACAAACACAGATCCAAAAGATTACAGAAAAACTTAAGTAAGGCAGTAATAGGAAATAGAGAGTTGCAAGTTATGGATAGAAAAACATAGACTGCGTGAAAAGTAAATAAAAATGAAATGAAGAATCTCGTAAAAATTTGTCGATTAGAAGAAAATTTCCAGCATCTTTTTTAAACACGCTGACGAATTATTTAAAATCCTAAATATTTTAACAAAACGTTATCTAAAGGGATTTGTTTGTTGTACAATAGTTTTCTTAAAATCGAAAAGATGACCCTCATTAGTGGAGCGTTAATAGTAGTCTTGAAAATCTGGAAGTACAATAGTGCATTCATAAGATACCTTGAAAGTGGTTGTCGTGAAGAACAGCGCTTGTACTACAATCTAGTTTTTTCACCTTTCCCTAAAAAGAAATAATTTTCATTAGTAAAATTTATAAAATTATTTATAGTGAATATTTAATTTTAATTTATAATTTTTTTTTTCAGTTGCAGGGCTAGATTTTTGTCGCATATGTTTTAAATATTGCAAAGTAATCTGCAAATGTATTAATTGTTACAGTATTTACCTGCTTGTAACCTTCAATTAATAGCAAACAGAAAGAACTGCCGAAAAGTATATACAGGTATACTCCGACAAAATATTGGAGAAGGTGAGTCATCTGCATGATCAACACTGTTGTCCATGAATGAAAATTCCGACAGAGTCAGGCATAGGCGGCGTATCCAATACCAAATAATTATTTAATATTTATTAGGTATTTGTTAGTAAACTGTATTAAATTTGTTTGCAACATCTTTATTTAAACAAAGATGATGCGTTAAATATACGTTTTTTGATAGTTTTCAAGAAATGAATATATTTATTCCCTAATGACTTCGTTATCTGTGTTTAATGGTTTTAAAATGTGTTTCAAGTAAATAAACGACAGACGGGTTACAGATTTGTATCGATTTAACTATTTATGATAATTATTTTATATTTTATAAACACTTTTTTGTATAAGTGCGATTTTCTAATATACGAGTAGGTGTTCATGTCTGTGCCTTACAATTTGGTAGTGGTAGTGCATATTCGAGGAGTTATACAGTGTGTCCGTAAAGTATGGAACAAATTAATTTTTAGCTAAACACCATTTTGAGAAATAATCCTGAAACACGTCGATTTTTGATTTTAATTTACCGTATTTTAAAATAATATTCTAATATACAGGGTGAATTACTTTCGAGTAATGACGTCACCGTCATTTTTTTTTAAACGAAACACCCCCATTTTGTCTCAATTTTCGGATTACTCTAGCTAAGCTGATTCCAAAAATGTATCACATGTTGATTCCAATTGGTATAGGGTGGGCAAAAATACAATAGTTTTGTGTGTGCTCATAAAGTAACGCGTAACATTCTTTATTAGTTAAATTAACAATATTATCAAAAATACTTATTGTCTAGCGGACAGAATATGATGAAATACATGACTTTATAAATGTTCGAACTGCAGCCCTTGCTGTATTTGACAGTAACCCAAACGGTGTACAAATTCTTGTTGAACCTTGTTTATTGTGTCTTGAGAAATATTGTTTATTGTTGTCCGAATTCTTTCCTTTAATTCTTGAATATTTGCTGGTTTCGTTTGAATCACAACATTCTTCAGATGGCCCCACATAAAATAATCCAAAGGATTGAAATCTGGTGACCTCGCTGGCCATTGAATAGGTCCACGTCTACCAATCCACCTGTTCGGAAAAATTTCATCTAGGTACCTTCTAACATCCACAGCATAATGTGGAGGTGCACCATCCTGTTGAAACCATAAACTTTCATCACAACCTCCAGGATTACGTCTGCTGGGAAACAAATTTCGTAAAGTAGGTACGAGATACCCCCTTAAAAACTCAAGGTACGTTGCCCCGTTTAAATTACCTTCGATAAAGTAGGGTCCAATGATTATATTTCTTACAATTTCAGCCCATACATTTACCTTTTGCGGGTATTGTGTATGATGCTTACGCATCCAGTGGGGGTTTTCTTTTGCCCAGTATCTACAAATCTGACGGTTAACCTCGCCATTTAACGTGAAAGTGGCCTCATCAGAAAAAATATCAAGAGAGGGTTTCGGTGACATTTATCCAACATTTTTTCGCAAAATTGGATTCTTCTATGGGGATCATCTTCGTTTAATTCCTGCACAAGTTTGATTTTATAAGGATGCCATTTTTCAAGCTTTAATAGTTTGTGTACCGTTGTTTTGCTAAGACCGATATCGCGACTAACTTTACGCACAGAAGTGTGCGCGTTTTCTTCAAAACTAAGTAAAACATCTAATGCTGTATCAGCATTTGCAGAGGGACGACCTGATTTGCGTACGTTTTCAACTGTACCAGTTTCTCGAAATTTCTTTTCAATCTTACTGACTGTTGAACGCGTTATAGGTCTTTCTGGATATTTATCATCAAACAAATTGCCCACTTCCATCTGAGTTCGCGATCTGTCTCCATACCCAATCATCATAACTATTTAAATTTTTTGTTTTACACTTAACTCCATTTCTAATTCAAATTAAATCTAAGCAATAATTAAAACATTAACGAATACCAAAAATATTGTAGTACTAAACTGTCACTGAACATCAATAAATTACTAAACAAATAATGACATTTCACAAAAAAATAGACGACTATGTTTTTTCAAAATTGATAAGAAATAATTTCTTTCATATTCTGTCTGCTAGACCACAAGTCTACCCTGTACCAATTGGAATCAACATGTGATACATTTTTGGAATCAGCTCAGCTAGAGTAATCCGAAAATTGAGACAAAATGGGGGTGTTTCATTTAAAAAAAATGACGGTCACGTCATTACTCGAGAGTATTTATTATTTTAAAATACGGTAAATTAAAATCAAAAATCGACGTGTTTCAGGATTATTTCTTAAAATGATCTGTTTAGCTAAAAATGAATTTGTTTCATACTTTACGGACACACTGTATTTATTGTGTAGTATATTAGGTAGGTACTTTAAAAGTTTATTAAATACTTAAAATATTGGTGTCCTTATATCTTATAAATTTAATAAAAACAATTTATTAGTAGAATTATATTGTTACAATAGTAATGGATTCATTTAATTTGCCAATAGTTTTTATACGCCACTAACGTAATACATTTCGACAATAAACATGCATTTGGCACGTGATTCCCATAACTTCTGCAGTCTTAAGCGCATGATTCCATTCATTATGCTCTGGTATAGTACGATGATTGTACGTGAACAGGGATGCGTCACCTTCTCCAATATTTTGTTCGAGTATAGTATGTTTAAGTCTGAGAAAATAACACATTACCCAGATATAACTGACTCTAGATATTAGGCTTCGTTCGATAGAAAAAGTAAAATAAAATACAGAAATATTTAATGGCTGATAAAAGAAATTCGAAGCTCTCCACAAAATGCAAAAAGCTAATTCAAAGACCTGTCTAGACATATTGTAGTAGCTTTGGATGTATGACGGCAAAAGCAACATTATAGTTATTCAACGACATACCACAACACTAAGGGCCATTGTAGATGCATAGGATTGCCAGACGTTACGCTTTTAGCGTATTTGCCACGCTTTTTGACTTGCTTGTACGCGCATTGCCCTAGTACGAAAATGCCACTCTTTTTGTGCAAATGCCACGCTTTTAAATTTAAAGCCGTAGAGGAACCGGATTTATACAAAAAGAGACAAATCTACGAGTAAAAGACCTTCGTTTTTACGAAAAATTAAAGCTGAGGACTTTTTGTTTTATTTTTTTTTAGAAATTTCACAAATAATGTACCTCATTATATAAAAATACTTGGTATTTGAACCTAATGCTCTGTCGTCACGGTTATCACTCTTTTCACTCTTTCAGAAATCTTTCAACCCTATAGAAGTACCCTGATTTCATGTCATATGAGGTGTTAAATCATTGAGGTAGTATCGGCGTTTCCTAATATTCAACAAAATGATGTACTGATGATGGATCACGTGACCAATAAATGACCCACTGCTGCAATCCTGAGTTTTATCTGATGAATATTATTTAACGACTGACATTTGTGATTTTGTAATTTTTTTTTTTTTTTTCGGCATCGACTGCTAAGGTCATTAGCCTCGTGTTCTGTGTAGGCTTTGTTACTGTTTTCCAGCGCCACTTCAGGAACAGCACTTTTAATTAGAACCCATCTGTCAAATTGTCTTTATAATGAAAACAAACAATTCGAACACTTTTTGATAAGCACAAAAACTAAAGACAAGTATGGATAATACAATAATTGAAAAAATATGAACTTTATTTGCTTGCTGTACGTCTAACGATGATAATCTTATTTTAAAAGTTAGCTCACTTGGAGGTTGATTTAATAAAACCCAGTGAGTTTCTTCATTCATATTATTAGGAATTTTGAACGAACTTTTCCTATTTCCTTATCTGTTTATAATTAATAATTTAAGGTTATGTCACGCGATCCATCTGTGCATCAACATAATCGAATCGATGCATCTGGTGACAACCATCTGAAAATTAGGTTGAATATAAGATTTTGATGTATGACTCATCCAAAAATTTTTGATGGATAAAAGAACAGTTTTGATGAATGAGAGATGGCATCGATGAATATTAGAAAACGCCTCATTATAGCAAGACGCGATCACGTGGTAAAGAGCAGCATCAGTAGAGGCGTTTTCTAATATTCAATAAAATGATTTACTGATGATGAATCACGTGACCAATAAATTGCCGACTGGTGCAATCCTGATTTTTAACTGATCAATTATTTAGTAACGACTGACATTTGTAATTTTATAATATTAACTATCAAACTGTCTTTATTTAATGAAAACAAATAAATCTAAGCACTTTTTGATAAGCAAAACTAAAAACAAGTATGGGTGATACAATAATTAAAAAAATATGTACTTGCCTTTATTTTCATGCTGTATATCTAATATACTGATAATCTTATTTTAAAAGTAAGCCCACTTAAAAATTGGGTTGATAAAACCCAGTTAGATTTTTCACTCATATCAAGAATTTTGGGAGAACTTTTCCTATTTTCTTTTGTGTTTATTAATAATTAATAATTTAAGGTAATATATCACGTGATCCATCAGTTCATCAACACAATCGAGTCAATGGATTTGGTGACAACCATCTGATAATTGGGTTGAATTTAAAAATATGATGTATGACTCATCTAAAAATTTTTGATGGATTAAAGAACGGTTTTGATGAATGCTAGATAGCATCGATGAATATAAGAAAACGCCTTATATCGTAAAATCCTGAATTTTAAATTTTGAGTTCATTAATGGTTTATATTATAAGGTGAACTAAGCGAAATGGTTGTGGTTGTTTTTGTCTAAAATTTAATGAAAATAA